AAATTTCAGTTCCGGTACTGCAGAAGAATTCACAGATCGCGAGCGCTTGTTGACAGTTGTTGGCGTTGACGGAAGAAAATCAAGCGGAGGAGGTGGCAGATAAAAATAGATCGAAAGAAAAAGTTAAAGAAGAACAAGGAAAGGAAATTCGTGAGGAGGCATTGAAAGGAATGAAACGAAAAGCAGGTAAGAATTGTTCAAAAAAATAATAATATTGTAGTTCTTTTCCATTACATGTACTACACCTGCTTCATAATAATGTACATGTAATACAATGTACATGCACACGTACACATGTACATGTGTACACATGTGAACTTGTGTACACATGTACATATACATGTACATACACAATGTACATGCAATACAATATTGTACATGTAACATGTTTTCCACATGTTTATAAATTCATTCACAAGAACTATCAGCATCCTGACATCTCGGAATTATCAGAATGGTGTAGAGAATAGTAATCTACATAATAAAAAAGGACAGTAAGAGAATGATAAGAGCTTAAAATCATTCAACTGAGTCAGTGAGTTACTGTAATGCAAATATGTCTTATAAATAATAAAAACATAACACTTAACCATATTCATCTAAATTCTTTGAACATCCACTTGTAATTGCAGATGATGATGAATTGCCAAAGCCAAAAAACCAGAAGATAAAGGACCAGATACTTGAAATTTTGAAAGAGAAAAACAAAACAAAAAAAGCTGAGCTTCAACTACAGCGTGAGCGGCTCGAGATGGAGCGCAAAGAAAAAGAAACAATGATGCAGATGCTTATGACCCTCGTGCAGCAGCAAAAAAAGGGAAAGACGGGTGATGTAGTCTTAGTGCTAATTTGTTTTATTTTATTTTATTTTATATTACACATACAATTGAACATTGTGGGGCAAGACAGCCCTTTTCTTGAGGTACTATACAGGGGTTGCCCTTGACTTTTTTTTCAGGTGGCCGGCCGGGCCACTTGAGTATGAGATTCAGGTGGCCAAATGGATTTTCAGGTGGCCCGGTTGCTACATTTATTAAATAATTTATTTGTATCCTAACTATGGGTAATGTGTTTTGGCAAATAATCGCAATAACATAGCTAGATTACAAAATGGTTCCACTTTTTACACTTAACACACTGTTTCTTGTAGGCTGGACATGCCTCACGAGCTTTGTCATGCTTACGACCACAACAACCACATGGTTTGTATCCTTTGTGTGTTTGTTGTTGCTTGGGCCATGCGTTAGCTTGTGGTCTTCTTTTCCACTGTGCTGTACGCTGTTCTCTGACAACATCAACATTAAGTTTATTTTGCATAAACTTAGCATCTTGTTCTGATAGTTCGTGTATCTGACACGTATGTATGGCCTTATCCAGTGTGAGTTCACTTTCTCTCAACAGTATTTTCCGTACACCGTCAGCTGTGATTCCTATTACAATTCTGTCTCTAATCAGCTGATCACACAGTTGCCCATACTCACAGGTGCTTGCTTTATTGCGCAAATCTGCTGCAAAAGTTTGTATAGTTTCACCTTGTTGTTGCAGGGGCGGCGCCACGGTTTTCAAAGTGGGGGGCCCAATTCAGAGAATAAAGCGACCATTTAGGGGATTAAGTTATTGGGGCACGAAGCGCACGAACGAGGGAGCCAGGCGACCGAGCGGGGGTGGGTGTGGCCACGGCAGGAAGCTTTTTCAATTTTTGCACTGAAATGGAGCGATCTGGTGCACATCGAAGGTGAAAATTTCAAATTTTTAAATGGAAGAAAAACGGAAATAACACCTTTTCAGTACATGTTTATGTACATGTCTACTATAGTGAAGTATATAATTTGCATCAATATGAATACATATAATAGGAATAAAGAATATGAAATAGTGAATCTTTTTCAGGGCGTACAGAAATTTCCATTTTCTTCAACCTGGTAATAGTCAAAAAATAACATTGCTGAATGATATTTAAACACTTATAACATCACTCGACTAGCTTTTATCTGCAGTTTATCTTCATGTTGCTGACAACAGTTTTGCCTTTAAAAACCCAAGCTGCTAGGATATTACATAAAGAATACCTCAACTGTTTATTAATTAAAAAGACTTAAGAACTAAAGTGCAAACTAAACTAAAAGAATAAAAGGAACTATATAAAATATATACATAAAACTAACGCTCATAGGGTCTATGTCCCCCAGGTTACTGCCGGAACGTACCCTGGGTACGGTCCGGTATACCGGCTCTGCGTTATCAGCGTGCGTTAGGCTCTGCGTGCTGCGCGTACTTAAGCTGTGCGTACGCGTGCGTAGTGCAGTATAAAATAATAACTAGTACCATATAATATATAATATTTACTTTTCATCTTGAATCTTAACATATATCATGTAGCTATGGCCGTGCGTATCCATTTACCAGTTATGCGAACATAAGCTGTTACCATAGAAATATTAGAGACACTATATATTATGATTTCTATAACTGTTACACTCAGGGGCATAGGAACAAAGTATTATTGAGGGGGCAGTAAAAGGCATCATCGCTGGGTTTTAAATTTTTTTATATAATTAAGAGAGAGAGAGAGAAAGTCTAAGATAAAGAGAGAGAGTAGTAAATTGAGACGGGGACAGGAAAACGGTGATACGGTGTGTATGCGAGCAGGAAACGGGGTACAATTAGGTCGTGCGAGATGGTGTGCAAGGGGATGGGAGGTGGGAGGCAGGGGGAGGGAGGTCGAAGGCAGGGGGAGGGAGATGGGAGGTAAGGGGTGGAAGTGAGAGGCAAGGGGAGTGAAGTGGGAGGCAGGGGGAGGGAGGAGGGAGGGAGGTGGGACGCAGTGGGGAGGGAGGTGGGGAGAAGGACTCCCCGCCCCCTCTAATTATACTTGGAGATCCATGCTCATATGTTGAAATCTTTTATAGATAGATAAAAATAGATAGCTGTGAATCTATGACACAAATTCGAAGTGAAAGGCAAGCATCATTTAATAAAATAAACCAAAATCGCATGGGGGGGAGATAGTGAGCGTGTCCTAACAATGATGTGTACGCAACTGCGTATATGCATATCTGCGCCTAACCAATGTGTCACTACGCACGACTGAAATTGTACGTTCATAACCGTAGCAACAGACCCCAGATGAGCCCAGACGCTCTGCGGCTCTTGTTTTGAATGGGCTCCCTGAGTACTGATTTTACATGTATGTTTACATGCGCAGCCAGCAGCGTCAGTGGCTGCAGCTAGCAGAGAGCTATATTTTGTTTCAAGCTAGGTTGTTACATTCAAAAGGTATGCGCGAATCAGGTGCCTCTGACGCAGGCTCCTATCTGAGCAGACAATACAATGTAGGCTACATGTGTATAAAGGCGTGTAGCCCGCTTCATGCTCTTATGCCTTATTTAGACGCCTTCAAAAAGATGATAAAATGAATAAGTAAGAAGCTATAAATAGTTCAGAGTTCAATGCTCATGAAAGGTACTCATCAAGGCTTGGTGGATCCAGCCCGAAATATTCACCGGTTTGAGAATTGTACAAACATGTGTGGCAGTTGGTGAGGAGAGCCCCTGCCAAATACATCTTGGCCACAGGTTGCAGCAAAAAAGGCCACAGGTTGCAGCAGTTATAAATTCTTCCGAAAATCAAGGAAAGCATATTGCCTCAATATTTTCCCAAACTGCCACTCTACACATTGACGCACAGATGACATAGATTTGTTGAAAAGTTCTTGATCTTCGGTCAACACTCCGCCTTGGTAAGGAGCAAGCAAACAGTCTCTCAGCGGATAGGCTGGATCGCCATATAATGAAAACGGTAACCCATTCCTATCTGTCCTTCGTACATTTTGCAGCTGATCCAGAACTTCACTCATTCTCAGCAGTGCGCAATCATGCCTTCGCCCCTCTACTGGACCATACATGTTCATTATTAGGCCATCTGGAGTTACAATAGACTAAAACTTTAGAGCATGGATGCGCTTGTGTCCATTGTAACAGACTTTTTGAAAGCGTGTTGGTCTGCACAGTGGTCTCACAGTGCCATCAATGAAACCAAAACAGTTAGTCAGAGGTGCTCCCTTGTCGTGCACAGCATCCGCGTAATCTTGTAACTTGTTTATAAACAGCGGTTGGTTGAGGTCCTGCAGTCTGTGGTGATGATTCTCGTGAATAAAGTTCAACACTTCAGTAATTATCATTGATAAGTTACTTTTGGGCCTTCTAAACATGGGCTCCAAATCAAGCAGCCTGCTGGGATAAGCGAGTCTTCTCAGGAAGATGCAGAGAGCCTCCACACCATCGACAACAGTCCGATTTCGGCAGACTATCCTCGGTGGAATGCGAAGTGCATTGCACAATCGATGGATGTCATTTTTATAAAATCGAAAATACGCACAACTATTTGTCATCGTATCAAGGTCAAACCTCTGCCCATCAGGATTGTACGTTTGTTCCCGTTGCTCTGGCAACAAATCAAGAAGAAGAATATCCAAATCATCGTCTGAAGCGTCATATTCCGAAAGTAGTAGAAAATTTTCGTCATTCATGGGCGTGGCCATCTTGAATTAGACTGCCAACTAGCGCGGTCTACCGGCAGCATGCGAAACCAGCTAACGAGCTGAGCGCTAACGCAAACACGAACACACTCGTTCGCGTTCGCTTACGCGTCACTGTGCGAAACCTCTCTACTATTTTGCTCGCTACCTACACATCCCCTGTTTCATTAACCACACATCCACTGTCTCCTGACCTACACACCTCCTCCACCGCCATGAATACACAACTCAGGCGCCCTCACCACCACTCTCACGTCATCGTCATCATCATCATCCTCATCATCATCATCATCATCACCACCATCCTCATCATCATCATCCCCATCGCCACTGCCACCACTATCGTCGCTGTCGCCATCCCCACCATCACCACCATCACCTTCATCACCATCATCGTCATTATCATCACCATCATCGTCACCATCACCAACATCATCGTCGTCGATAGCCGTCTCTCGCTCACCTTCGCCCTTGAACACGTAGCTGCGCGAGCCACGCATCCAGTTCATCTGGTCGAATCCGAGTAACGTTGTATCGATGCGCACGCTCGCGCCGCTCTTGTACACGCGGTACGTATCGCTCGGACACACGCGCGACACCAGCGGCACCCAGCTCGTGAACTCCCACGTCATCTCCACGTAGAAGTCCGGCGCCTGCGCGGGCCGGCGGCAGACGAACATTCGTAATCAGCATTTCAAAATGTTTTGTGGTGGACATTTTGAGAGAATGGCACAACTCCTGTTTTTTGAAGGCCAATTTCGATGACGAAGTGCAACGTTAGTTTATACAGTACACGTCATAGCACATGTGGGATTTGTGGCTTTTACCAGAATGTTGATGACCGACATGTTTATGAGTGCTAAGAAATGAATATCATGGAAATGATATCGAAATTGGCCAAGGATTAAGGCGAACCTGAACTTTTCTCAATTGGTAAGTTCCAGAACATGCCACCAAACGAGGAGTAATGCCACCACTACCCACACGTAATATTAAACGTACAGTGACGGAATAGTAAAAGCACTGCGTGTAATATATCTAACGGTACTGGGGCAGCCATTTGATAGTAGAATCATCAGCTCTTACATAGCGGATCGATGTTCCTGTTTCAGCATATATAGCATGAATTTACATACATCATTGAGTCGCTGAAGTGCCTCAGGTGTGCAGGCTGTACGGCGTGTGTGTCGTTGGTAATCTCTGTACTGTAACACGATGCGTAACAACTCTGGGTCACCTGTCGCTGTTGCCTCATGTAGGACTGCAGGAAAACAGATGTTGCACTAGTTAACAGATATTGCACTGCAGACAAGGTATTTAAACATTAAACACTCATTAAATAGCCACTCACTCACAATGCATTTGTAATAGAGAAATGTGGTACCGTGAGAATGGTACAGAGGAGGCACATACGATCGGTCAGGGACGACCGGCGGATGGCCCCACCAGACTGAACTGCCTATTTTAGAAGGGACCTATAAATTAACGTGACGGACGGCATGGCCGATAGAGTCATTAAGGGAGGTACGGCCGGTTCACACGGCCGGACGACGGGTGTAACGGCCTCGACTTGACCCGAGAACAGAGTGAGAGTTGTCAACCAGCCGTCATTTGGTGGCACCCTGATGACGGTACAGCAACCGGTCAAGGGGGCAATGAACCTCGACAATAGGGCGGAAACCGGGCGAGGTCGAGAGAGACAGATAAAAGGAGAGTGTTTTCGGGTAGAGGGGAGAGACTCCGACTACAGCTTGGTATGTGTACGCCGTCACTATTCGTCGTGTTTAGAATAAAGCTATAAGTTGTTTACCGTTTATACAACTGTTACGTACTACTGTCTACGAGCGTATATTCCACGCTACAATTTGGAGCCGTTTGACCAAAAGAATCTTCGTCTCCCTTTGCGACACAACGCGAGGTGCTACCACTGCGATGCACGAAAGTCGAGAGAAACACTGAGTGGAGACATCTGTAATGATGAAGAAGAAGAAGAGGAAGAAAGAAGACGAAAACCTATGACTATTGGACTATTGTGACGTTAGAATGAAGTGTTGCCGTTTTCGCCATGCGAGCATTGCGTATGGAAATGCCTACGAACAATGATGTTGCCGCTAAGGCGCATATAAGCCAGAACTTATCTTGTACGACTTGGATATCGACGATGCGAGGAACAGAAGAATACGATCACGACGACGCAAGGAACAGCAGAATACGAACACGACGATGCGATCGAAGAAGAGCCAAATACGATCACGACGACACGATCGAGGAACAGCAGAATACGATCACGACGACACGATCGAGGAACAGCAGAATACGATCACGACGACGCAAGGAGGAGATGGCGAAGGAATGCAGATTTTTGTAGCGAGATTCATCAAATCTGCAGATGGCCGGATAACGCACGGAACAATGCATTAGTACAACATGTCACAGATCACAGCAGCCGAGACAGCACCCGAGATATCAGCTGCATAAGAAGTCTACCGCTGGCGACCAAGCAAGAAAGAGCGCAATGGATGAACGACATTGCAATACGTATTACGGGTGAGTGAAGCAATCTAGTGTTGGCGGCTATTTTTCAATTTTCGCAATTACACTGGAAACTAGTTTTCAAACCACATGTTTTATAATACACGAGTGTGTTAGCGAAATACTAATTAAAGCACTTTTCCTACCTATAACTTCCCACCACCACCCCACCACCACCCCCTGGCTTAACGAGTTTTATAAACTGTGTCGTACAATGCCCGAATTCGTACGTAAATACGTAGAATAGTACCAATCGGTGTAGAACTTTAAGAATGCGCCAGGTATATACGCATTTACTTGCCGTAGAAGGCAAGGTTGGCTGATATAAAAGCCATGACGACTCAACGCATATAGTCGTAAGAGAACGAGCCGACGTGCTAGTTAGACGCACCAGTTTTAATATACGAGAGGGGACATGGTACTCCCCTGGAATCGCTGAAAATGGTTTACGAAAGTAAAAGTGGCACGATAGCGATAGCATTTCGAAACGACGGTACTGTAACGAGGTCAGCAGGGCCCGGGGCTATAGTGTAGAAACAGAGAGATCAACTCGGCAAGCCATTCAATTCTAACCGTTGAGGGCACCTACGTGGTTAGTTTATTCTTATATACAGGAGTTTAAAATGTCACCCATGTTAGAGATAAATTGTCACTCTCATTACAGTGTAAGGTCCACTTGGAATGTACCCCCCTTAGGGCCCAAAACACCCACCCGCCCATCCACCATCTACCTGTTTATTCCCAAAAGTGTTTGTTATGTTATTTCGATGTTCATACTTGTGAAACATGGAACAAATTTATAATAATGAAAGCCGACACAGTTGTTTCACAGCCTATCTGAATGTATGTAGGTGTATGTATCTCTATGTAATTGTTTTTTCCTTATCTTTTCATTTTTGGCTTTTTCTTCACGTATTCACGTTCATTTTGTGCGCGATTCTTACACATTACCCGCAAATAAAATAAAAATATATATATATTGTCACGTGCGCGAATCGTGACTTTTACGCGAATTGTAATTTCATTTGTCGCGAGTTCTAACGTTTCTATGCAACATTAAATATTGTACGACAGTTTGTTTTTGTAGCTATTCCACGCGTTTTATGTCACGTGATTGGTGACCGTTCAATGTGATGTCTGCGAGGGGACACGATATATATTTTCCACGATTGTACGCGTATACAATGTTATCCCTTTATGAAGAGGCGATCAAACGTCTGACCCTGGCGCAATACGTACACATAGTCGGCTGGTTTTTATACCAAGGCCTGGTAGGGCCAGCCATCTATCTGTCACGCGTGCCAGATTTCGAGAACCTGCCACAACCGCCCAGTCTGACAGAGGTTACAAATTATTTAAGGGGGGCGATCCCACTCCCGCCACCGGGGGCCGAGTTAAACGACACCTGGTGGATGGTGAGCAGGCATGACGACTACGAAAATTACATGCCTGAGGGTTTCGATCCATTCGTAAACTATCAGGGCTCCTTATTGGAGAGGTATTATGCCCTATTACGGGCATACGATCCAGACGACGAATACAACAACCCGGAGGACGTGCGGCGTCTCGCGGTATTGCACCAACGGATGCTGCAGTGTACTCTAGTGGAGTTGACCCCATTGCCACAACCGAGACACTTGGAGGGTGGCTAGGGGGATCGTTAGTTGCTGGTTATCATGGTTTCGGCGTTAAGCTAGACAAACCTCACCCTTTTCCCCGCAAACTAACGGGTTATGGCAGTAGTACTGAAATGAACAAACGGGTATTTTTCCATTTAAATTTACAATATAAGAATGTTTTCCATGTATCTCATGTGTCTCATGTGGTCAGGTGTCTCACGTTATTGTCGTGCACGGCAGTACGCGAAGATCACAGGCCAAGTATACCTTTTACTTACAATTTATAACCTTTTGCGCGAATTTTCACTTTTCTATGCAGTTTATAAGTTTTGATCCGCGCAGTTAAAATAACATCCACAAGCAATAACATTTCGGACGCGAATTGTAACGTTTGTACGTAGCTTTTTAATATTATACGCCATTTCTTTTAACTATCGTACATTTTATGTTACGCGATTGGTGACGGTTCGACATACGGATATTATTGTCAATTTTATTGTATAGTGTTAACGGAACAGTGTAATCTTTAGCGAAGAACAAGTCAAGCGATATTTTACAAAACTATGGGTTATGGGTTATATGTATTTGTGCTATTGTACGGTTAAAAGTTGATATTAGTTGTGATGTTATGCGGTGGCGGTTATGAGAAACAGTAGGATACGGTTATATACTTAAGCGGTTACAATTACAAGCAAACATATTACGATGATAGCACAGCAAGTCTTTTGTCTGTAACAAATTTTAATAGTGGGTTTCTTCCAGCCGGGAGGCTGGCTTAAAGCCGATTGCAGTCAACTTTTTTTGGGGCAGGGTGAAATGTAATAGAGAAATGTGGTACCGTGAGAACGGTACAGAGAGGAGGCACATATACGATCGGTCAGGGACGACCGGCGGATGGCCCCACCAGACTGAACTGCCTATTTTAGAAGGGACCTATAAATTAACGTGACGAACGGCATGGCCAATAGAGTCATTAAGGGAGGTACGGCCGGTTCACACGGCTGGACGACGGGTGCAACGGCCTCGACTTGACCCGAGAACAGAGCGAGAGTTGTCAACCAGCCGTCATTTGGTGACACCCTGATGACGGTACGGCAACCGGTCAAGGGGGGCAATGAACCTCGACAATAGGGCGGAAACCGGGCGAGGTCGAGAGAGACAGATAAAAGGAGAGTGTTTTCGGGTAGAGGGGAGAGACTCCGACTACAGCTTGGTATGTGTACGCCGTCACTATTCGTCGTGTTTAGAATAAAGCTATAAGTTGTTTACCGTTTATACAACTGTTACGTACTACTGTCTACGAGCGTATATTCCTCGCTACACATTTTTAGCATTGTATAAAATCTGTAAATGGATGGGAACCAAAATGAAAGTGTCAATGACACTGTAGCTCACCTTCGGTGTGATAGAAGAGGGGGGATATATAAAGCAAGAGTATATATGGGAGAACTCCCATTATATAGCATATCTCCCATTATATACTCTTGATAATGATTTATGCATAAGTTTTGATGCTAAAATAAATGTTTCAGATCTGAAAGTCTGAAATCTTGACGAGAGATGGCACTACGCCTAAATGATCGCCATTTTGGTTTTCGAATATCACGCAAATAAAAACAATAAAATATTCCAGTCAAATTACTGTAACGAAGAAATCTAAAACAAAATATTACACGTATATAGGTATGATTGTAGAGTTGTTGACCAGTTAGACGAAATGAACGTAATAGGACGTTGTCATCTCTCCCATAGGAGTAACAACTGTTTTGGGGCTAGCCTTACACATTCACATACCAAAATTTAACAAAATCGAATGAATTTAGATGGCCATTTTCATTTTTGCCAAAAATTGGGCGTGGCTCGAAAGTAGGTCGACTGGCGTGCTCGAAAATAGGAAGTTCAAATCTCTCACATAGGAGTAACAACTGTTTTGGGGCTAGCCTTACACATTCTCATACCAACATTTAACAAAATCGAATGAATTTAGAGGACGTACGACGGACGACACCCCATGGCAATAGCTCATCTTGACGATGTCAAGGCGAGCTAAAAACTAATTTTTGTTGTTTCGGTTGCAGCTATCTCGACGAAGCCGTTGGGATATAGCAAATAAACAAACCTCGTG